AGTCGCCGGGCGCTCGGGGAGCGTTCTGTGTGAGGCGGGCGGTGGGCGCTGTGAGGGGCCCGTTCCTGGCCCGGCCCGGGAGGATGCAGCGGGAGCTGAGGCCGACTGAGAGGTCTGCGCTGCCTTTGCCAGGCTCTTGTCTCAGAGCTGCAAGGAGAGGAAAAGACGTGGTGCCCGGTTAACTTCTCTGCTAGGCCTCTGAATCGTAGATAACTTCTTAAAACTTTTAAAACAGCGTAGTTATATTTTTATTTAAAGCTGCTCGGCCTTAAGCTTTCATGAAACTTGCTGTCAGAGGGGTTGGAGAAGGTAAAGGCTTCAGTTGCCTGTTCAGCTGTGGCTGAAGAGACAGGGAGGAGGCGCTGGGGGGGACATGAGTGTCGCTTGTTAGTCCTGGGGGGGTGGAGTAAAATTCATGCTCTTTCAGGAGGCTAGAAGGGAAAAGGCAAAGGACGATTGGGGTGGCGAGAGTTGTAGGAATAGTCTGGTGCTCAGGATGCAGAACTGGAAGTTAGAGACATAGGTTAGCATCGCCTCTATAAGTGACTTTTGATTTTGAAGTTTTGAGTAAGTGCCTTTGCCAGCTCTGCAAAGTACTTAACCGAGAGTTGGTTTGGTTGAGGTTTTTGTTTATTCGTTTATTTGTTTTTTTTGTTGTTGTTGTTGTTTTTTGTTTGGTTGGTTTGTTGGGGTTTTTTTTGTTTAATTTAAAGTTGTGTGCTTTGGATATATAAATTATTGTTTTTTGGTTTGGCTGCTGTATCTCCCAGTTGGTCTCTTTTGGACTTGTGATAGTCAAGAAAAATAGCCTGGAGACTGATCATGGACATGTACTTCTCACATTAGCACTCTCTTCCCTGAAGAAAGGACTGTTGACTTAAAGGTTAACAGCAGCTTTTTCTGTGTAAAAATATCAGATGTTATCATAACCAAACTGCTTATTTATGGCTTGTTGGTTTTGATGAGTGTGATAAGTTTGTGTTGCTGAAAGGCCTGACTTCAGTAAGAAGACAACAAAATGTTTGTATGATATTATTGTCTGAGAAATTATGTTGAAAGAATGTGACCACTTAACAAATTTATTTTTATGCAGAGGAAAAATGATAGAACACAAATTAGCAACACATTTACTCACATTTTTATGCCTTAAGAAAAGTTGGTACTGGCAACAGCAAGGCCACAGTTAGCATTCAGTAGTTTCAGAGGCACATAATTAGTCTTTTGAAGGAAACTATTGTTTTTTTGGTATCAAGTTGTAGCCTTTCATCTGGTTAGACTTAGGCTTTTTTTGCCTGTTAAGCAATTATTTCTTTATTAAACTACTCTGCAATCTGATATTCTAAAGC